TTGTTCGTTCGATTTGTGACTGATTAGACCGTGAAACAGGTGACTCTACGAGGACAGGTATGAAGTCTCTGATTTTGTGTACGGAAAAGTTTATTTTAGAGAGTTCGTTGACCTTTTCGGTGCAGAGTGAAGAGTAAAGAGTAGAGAAGGTTTTTTTTAGTTTTTCTGCAAGTTTATTTCTCCTCTTATTTTCTGCGTGCGAAGTGTAAAAATAATTCGAGTGAATTGTGTACATTGCATCGATCAATTTTCGAAAGTGTATTTTATTTTGGGAGTTTTTATTTATTAGACATTTTATAATAGTTTTTATGTATAACAACTGGAAATTAGCATGGAAATGAATTTTCATATTTTTCTATAAGTTATAATTAAAAATAATTTAATTACGAAATGTGCTGCAACGAGAGAGATTCTCGTCGATCTCGATGATCGCGGGTGCTAGTCTTTTGTCAGACGGTTAGAGTCTTTGTCCAGATGACGTTACGATGATACGAGCGCGCCTCTAGTATTAACCCTAGATCCGTTTTCGTTTTGACTGTACACTTAAGACTTTTGGGTGAAAAAGGACCTAAGACCTTATGTGTAATAATTCTTGTTTCCAACGCGACATATGAACCTAGCTTGATGACAGCAGAAACGACTAAACATATAAAAAGGCGGTGGGTCAAAAAAGACCCGAAGACTGCCACGCCGAAATCGCATGTTTTGCTCGGGACACCACCAAAGTATTTTTATTATTCTAAGCAAACAGTGGTAAAATAATAACAAATATGGTTATATGAGACAATATTCTTACCCATGGGGCGTTTATCTTTCTGGTGGTCACGGGTGAGCCTTGGTGCACTCGATGAAACTTGCTAACTATTTCGGAATATTTATTTACGTTATGGCTATTTACGACGCTGGTGTGATGTGGTATATACCTGAAAGAGTATCACAGCAACGTAGTAAACAGATCTTCGTTTATTTTGACAAAGAAGAAAACAAAATTTTGCAAGTTTTGGAACAAAGATTGCTAAAAATCGGACCGAAAAGGTTACCACATACTGCCCGGATTGTATCGATCAGCCGCATCTATGTTTGAAATGCTTTAATACAATACACCGGTAGATAGAAGATTTGATAAAAGTTAATCTCTCATTTTTCATCTTTAATCGTCGAATAGTGCACATTTTATTTCAAAGTATTCACTAATCAGCGACGATGTTCAAAATTCATCAACTGTCAATGTTCATTCAACTTTTACAATTATAAACATTTGAAGCACTTCGAGTGGCTTCTGCGAAACAATCTGCGGTCACATATGACCACCGTGGCAGTGAACGTGTTAACAACAAAATGCTTCACAGCCAAAATAATTGAAAAGGAAAATATCGCCTAGAAACGAAAATTTAGCACGAAAACGAGTTTCAATATTTTTCCATAAATTACAATTGAAAATAATTTAATTGTAAAATGCCTCGCGACCAAACTGATCGAAAAGAAAAGTATCGCCTAGAAACGAAGGTACAACGAATAAAAATTTCATATTTAACCAAGTTATGAAATGTTAAATAATTTTCAATTTTTCCTGAAACCCTTTAACTTCGAAATTTTCACGAAGAAGATTGTAAAATGTTTATTCTCCCCTTGTGTTTCAGGGTGCAGCGCAGCAGCTGCAGTCGTTAGTCAGAAATGGTACTAGGATCGTGTCCGAAGTGGTGGGGTAGTTGTAAGAAAAAGGAAAGGAAATTAACATAACATAATCTACGTAGAATAGAAGAATAATTCGCAGAGTTTCAAAAAAGTGTGATAATTTCGAACGATCTACGCTGAAATACTCCTGCTTCGGTGGATGTGACGGTAGGCGACAGAACTTGAACAAAGTATTCACTATGAGTTTCACTCAAAGACCGAAGATTTCTTTTTTCGACGACGAATTAAAATATTTGCTCGATTATCGAAGAGATATGTGTCGAATTTTTTCCTTCTTCTTTTTTTTATGTATAGACCGTAGTATTACGTGTAATAGCTGTTGGGTGATTATGTACTTTATTTTAATCAATCTAGCTATTAGCGGGCATGACGTTTCAAAGCGTCACATAATTCTTGACGCTTAAAACACGTCGTCTTGGAGTAACTTCTCTTTTCTACGAAGTGTCTCAAAGCTTGTAACAAAAGGACGATGAAATTCGCGATTGCCTTAAACATAGGTATACAAATATTCATTTTTCTCTCTTCAAATTTCAGCTACTCGAATTTTGCAAAAATTCGCAGGTCAGAAATGTATTATATTTTACTATAAGATACAGGGATGAAATATTTCCATAAAGAAATACCAACAAGCTTATCCAAGAGACGATGAAATTCTAGGTACGCAAATTTTCATCCGTCTCTCCCGAATTTCGGCAATTGAAATTTCGCACAAAATTCCCAAGTGAGAAATGAATTACGTGAAATATTTCACGTCGCACAGTATTGGATAATTTTAGAAGGAAAAGAGACATTTACCTAACGTTGAGATCACGCAAATGAAGAGCGTTGAA